ATGTTCTATTATAATAATACTATATTAATGAGGAGCCCTGGTGGCGCAGTGGATAGAATGCAGCATTGCAGGTGAACTCTGCTGACTGCCAGCAGTTCGATCCTGAGCAGCTCAAGGCTGACTCGTCCTTCCGTCCTTCCGAGGTCTGATCTGCTGCCAGACTGACTGGTCTGTAATTCCCCGAGACATTTAAACAACCCAGAGTCTAGGATTCCTCAAAAGTAACAGCCAGAACTTTAAACTCATTCTAAGTCAATGGATTTCTATGCAGCTCTACGAATCTACAGCTCTGTCTGGCTCCAGATTCAGTCCCGCCTTTTCCTTCTGCTTTCGCTATTAACCAGAGGAACCCATCCTTCCTCTGTGGCTGGGGAAGGAGGGGTCAAAAGGGGATTCAGATAGTTGCCCCTCCTCCCATTTTCTTTTGCTAACCTTTAGCCCTTTCGACATACTGTTTCTTTCCCCTTCTTTTTATCTGGAGCATATTTGGAAACGCTTTGGGTTGGCTTTAGCATCCTTTGTAAATTTCAGCCATTCGAAACCTTTATGGCAGTCCTGAGTCATCTCTCTTTCTTTTTTTTTCTTTTTCTTTTTCTGGACTGATCCATTTTGACGCTCAAATTTTCACCACGCCTTTTATGCAATCACACTGGCTGTCAATTGCTCTCTTCAACTTTTCTCAGCCAAATTACAGGCATGAGAATGTCAGAGGTTGAGGATGGTGTACTAGCAAACCAGGTTCCATCAAGAGGAACCATGATGGTTAATGTCACAAGAGACTGAACATTGTAGGTAGCTTAGCTTAAGTTTCATAAAGAGATCTTGGAGTCTCTGGAAAATAACAATTTGGCCATCTCTATAACCACAGGCACTGCCTCCGCTTCACCTGGTATGCAGAAGAGGAGCTGCCACAAGTCAGAGGAGGGGGATGAAGGAGGAAGCATCCAGGTAGTTGGGGGGGAGGAGGAGGAGGAGACACAATTCTGACTGTCCTCTTGGTTTTCTTTGGGCCAGCGATGCACCTGATGCAGATGTTCATTCAACAACGCATCTGCAGAATGGCCAAGAAAATAGTATTTCTGACCTCAAATAAAGGTTAGTCCTTTAAACGGTAGTATATGTACCTGTAAAAGTTGTAAACAAAATAAAAATATAAAATAAAAATAAAGGATAAATGTGCCCCAAATTCCCTCAGACCTCTTGTTGAATCATCTTTTACCTCTGGCCTTCTGCCACTCCAGAGTTTTAAAGAAAGAGACATTAGGGGGGGGGATCCAGCTGCATGACCCATCTGGTAGAACAGTGTTTCTCAACCTTGGCGACTTTAAGATGTGTGGACAAAACCAGCTTTGCTGGCTGGGGAATTCTGGGAATTGAAGTCCACCCATCTTAAAGTCACCAAGGTTGGGAAACACTGCAGGAGAGGATTTGAGGTGCTTGCGTTTTAAGTACGTTCAGGGCCAGGTCAATCGTTGAGGTCAGGCTCCAAGATTGGAAGTGCTGAAAGAGACCACAGTGTTTCTCCTTCAGCCTGATGAGAATTATCAGAAGCTGAGTGAATCTGACATTTCTAACAGCTCCAACTCTGGCTTCCAGTTCTTACTATTCCTCCATGCAACCAGGCGTGCTGTACACCAGGTGTGACAAACAATGTTCTTCCAGACATGGCTGAGCTGCAATTCACCACGCAGGCTACAATGGGGGGCTTTTCTTGCAGCCCAAGGAGATAAAAAAAAAAAACTCTCCTGTTTTCCAAGTGTCAGTTTTCCTGGGAATGAAGCTTTTCTAAATAAGAAACTAACACGATTGGTTGTTTGCTATCATTGCATCCAACAGCATTCTTGCTTGTGCAGTTCTTCAAGGAATTGTTGGTGCAGCAGTGCCAGGGTCAGAACAATGCCTCTGTGCTCAGAGGGGGGAGATGCCCAGTTTCATTTGCCCAAGGGAGGTGCCAGGAGCTGCCACATGACCCGAATTCCAGTCTATTGCCATCACAACGGCTGCCCTGAGAACAATACAGCCAGTCAGCTTCTATTATTTCCTATTGAGCATCCTGATTTTAGAGAATCCCAGGGCCCCTCATTATGAGCTCCCTGACACAAAACAGAAAAGATTTTTTCTTGCGTTTGAAAACATGATCCCTTTTAAAAATCATTTATAAAAAAACACCGAGGAAAAAAATAAAAGTAGCAAGAGCAGTAGAGGCATACCAACCTCCATTATTTATCGGGCTCAGTCCGCTGGGTGATTCCAGCTTATTTTAAGCGCTTACCTAGATGACCTTTTTCTCTGCCAGGTTCCTGGTGCAATGGATGGAAGTGGCAGCTAAGCTCTCACCTGATAAACCAACATTTGTTCAATGGCTGCATGCAAACTGCTCCATTCTCTGAAGTCCCTGTGGAGTCAGGGTCTGCTTTAAAGGTCCTTAAATTCAAATATGCCAAATGAACTGTGGCACATGGGCTGGGAGAACAGGCACCTCAAGGAAATCTCAAAAAGCATCATTCTCTACTCAGTGTGGACCCAACTACCCCCCCTCCGGGGATGGCTTTTGTGGGAAAGGGGCCCAAGAATGTCAAATATAATAAAAATGTACCCTCAAACAGCAGCAAAAAAACAGGGACCAAATCTCAGAGTCTAAAGTGTGTGGAACTGCAAGAGAGCAAGAAAACCTCTCAGCCTCTTAATCTCTCAGTACATCATCTCCAGCCAGGCAAGCCGGCTCTCCAGAAGGGAAGGCCGAAGGATCACAACTCCTCGGCAGGTTGTTGATAACAGTCAATGGGCAAAGCTCTAACCTGGGCAGCAACACAGATAGCAAACTCCAAGTCCCTGGAGGCCTCCACCTTGGGCTCAAGCCAGAAGTTCAAAAGATGGAACGTATATTGCACGGATCCCTAACTGGAACACTCTGATAACACTCTTCACAGATCTCTGCATGCAGACGTAACCTACTATTGAGCAAGGTACCCCCTATACCAGTGATGGCGAACCTTTTAGAGACTGAGTGCCCAAACTGCAACCCAAAACCCACTTATTTATCGCCGGGTGCCAGGTGGGCGTGGCCCACTGGGTGGGTGGGCGTGGCTGTGGTGGTCATGGCAGATTGGGTGGGTGTGGCCAAGGTAGATATGATCACCTTGATGTTGCTCGTGGGGAGGGATGCCTGTGGGGGCCAGGCAGGGTTGGGGGAGATCCAGGGGGTCTCTGGCAGGTGGGACGGTGGGCAGGAGGCTCGTCCTGCGGAGTGAGGCGAGGCAAGGTGGCAGTGCCATTGTCAGAGGGCAAGGTGAGACGGGCTGGGGTGGCTGCTGCCTGACACCATCGGCCCCTGCACACAGAGGCCAGCGAGCGCATGGGTGCTGGGATGCATCTGGCCATGTGGGACCTCAGCGAGTTAGCAGGCGGCTGGTTGAAGAGGGACGGTTGCCATCTCCGGGGCATGGCACGCGTGCCCACAGAGAGGGCTCTGTGTGCCGCCTCTGGCACGTGTGCCATAGGTTCGCCATCACTGACCTATACTATACCTGTGCATTTGGTTTTTCTTGCCTAAATGTAGAACCTTACTTTTTTCACCATTGAATATCATTTTGTTGGATAGCACCCAATGTTCAAGTCTGTCAAGATCCTCCTGTATCTTAAGCCTGTCTTCTGGAGTGTTGACTATTCCAGCCAGCTTAGTGTCATCTGCAAATTTGATGAGTTCCCCATCTATCCCCTCATCCAAATCGTTGATGAAGATGTTGAAGAGCACTGGGCCTAGAACAGAGCCCTGGGGCACCCTACTACACACTTCCCTCCATGTAGATGCGGTTCCATTGAGGACCACACACTGAGTACGGCCGGTCAGCCAGCTACGAATCCATCTGGTGGTGATGCTGTCTAACTCGCATTTTTCTATCTTATCGAGTATTAGGTTGTGATCTACTTTATCAAATGCCTTACTGAAGTCCAAGTAAATTATATCCACAGCATTCCTCTGGTCCACTAACTCTTGTAATCGACATATGTACAAGTGTGCCATGAATTACACCAACTCCAAAACAAGAAGAGACAAACACAGAAAGTGCAATATTTTCCTCAACCTCTTCCCCCCCCCCCCCCCAATGCATTCTAAAATGGGTAAGACTACTCAAATGTCGGTGTGAAATTATAAGAAGCTTAAAAGTTTAGAATGTATAAACTGGTACAGTATGTGGTATTAGAGTTTGCTAACTGATATATTGTGCATTATTTCTTGGGAGTACTTCGGATTCTTTTTGTTAAAAGTTTTGTCCTAATTTCTATTTCACAGATGAAACAGCAGCACCCTAAGACAGATAGAAAACAAACAAGGAAAGAGCAACAGCTTTGGGAAGTCCGAAACAAAAGCAACAGGCAGCCATCACACCTGCTTTTCGTGTAAATTGTTTACTTAATACCAATATCTCTACATAATTAAAAGGAACAAACTGAACAGCTGTGACCACAACCTCCTGCAGAAAAAGCCCTTGACCCTACAGAGATGCCTTCAGAAGGATAGTCCCCCACAAGGACGGGGAGCTGCATCCTCTCAAATAATGCCCAGGTGTCCAGGGCCACACAAAGAAAGCCCCAAGGGTGCTGGGAAAGGAAGGGGGGGCCTCTGGACCCCTTTGCAGGCATGTCCTGCAGCTCCCAAAGCCGAGGCGTTTTACCTCTCCGTGGTGCAATTCTAAGCAGCCTAAAGACAGGCGGCCACCGTCTCTAGCTGCCCAGGACAAGGACAGAGGCTGGCATGACTTTCTCTCCCACCGTGCCAGCAGTTTCCAGGCAGAGGCACCCCTGGAGGTCCCTTTTGCAAAGGACATAATGGAGTCAGGCAAGGTGCAAGAGGAGAGGAAAAGACAGACAGCCTCCTCAGGCATCCTCGCCCTTCAGCGGCCATCCCTGTTTCAGCTCCTCTGGCCTACCAAAAGCCCCCCCCTCCCCCCCACAACAACAGGGCAGCACAAGCACAAGACAGACTCACAAGCACTTACCCGGCTCACAGGCCTCCATCTCACTCTGGTCAAAGGTTTAAGAGCACCGAAAGGCAGGAGATAATAGAGAATAGTCAGAGGCCAAGAACGGAGTTTCAGAGCAGGCCTAGACATACAGCTCAGCTGGCCCAACCTCCGCCTCAGGGCCAGCTGGGGAAATTGCAACCTGTGGAATTACAGACACACAAGATGGTCAGCCAACCTGGTGTCCGGGAGGGGGCTGGTGGGGGGGGCTCTCTTTTGCCTCCTGAGCCTTTCCCCCCCAAACAGGGCCACTCCCACCAGTTGGCCTAACTAACCCCAGCAAAGCAGAGCAGCCCAGTTCGGTCCTGGCCTCAAGGAAGCTCCCCCAGACTCCAGGAGGAGGAAGCAGTGCCGGGTGGGAAAGATAATAGGAGCCCCTCCAAATATATCCCACGAGGACAGTTTTGCCACTGTCTGCAGCAAAAACAAAGCTGCAAAAGCGGCAAATCCTTCTTCCTGGGGAATTTCACCTACTCTGCTACAGGATGAAGTCAAAGCCTCTTTCCCTGTTGTTTTTTAAGAACTTACATTCCTGCTGGCCTTTGCAGGGATAATCGGGGAATGTTCTGTAGAACAAGAGTATGGATACCAGTCTGAGAGTTTGTCTCTTTTTCCCTGAAGAGCTGGAAACCTCACTAGGATATCCTGCAAGTTGCTAGCACTGCAAAGAATCAGGTTGCAGCAAGATCTGCATTAAGACCAGGTGGGTCCCCTAAAACCCACAAGACAACCAGCAAGACTCAGGGACCCCCTTCCTCTCAGCAGGCAACAAGTTCCAACAGAAAAAAAAGAACGGAGGTATTCAGTCATCCTGTAGGGACTACTAACAGCACTGCTTTAAATCAGGGAAGTAGTTTAAAAGCCTGATTCACCCAGGGCTTCTGAAACATCTCATCTCCGGATCAAACTCTTCATAACAAAAAGGGACAAAGGCTGGATTAAGCTTAAATCGGCCCGAACAAAGAGCACCACTGGCAAATTCCACCCAGTTGTTCGTTTTTATTTTATTTGGAAAGACAGCGTCCGCTCTTCTTCTAGCATATATTAGTTACAAATGAGAAGCAAAGCTGGATTTGTATTTCAAGCCTCAACGGCCGGCCCAAGTGCCCACCTAGGGCAGACTTGCAAAGAGCCCCTGTCTGTCACTGAGAGAAAAATAACTCCTTCAGGAGAAAGAACTTCTGGAAAGTGCATCAGGGATCTGTCCCAAGAATCAAGCCTGGAGAAGAGCCAATTAGTTTGGATCCCTGAGGACTGAAGCAGGATCCTCACCCACAGCCCACAGCCCCAGAGGGGGCCACTGTGTTTCAGCCAAAAAAGTGAAGGAGGCTGAAAGGGACCTCCTGCCTCCTGCTCATTCCTTCCTCCACCCCCCACCCCCCAAGCTAGCCAGGCAGGAGACAATGGCAAGAGCTGAGAGGCATCACGCTCGCTTTCTGGCTCCATCTTTCCCCCTTTCACTGCAGACAATCACAGCCAATCCCTGCCGAGTGGCGGCTTGAGAGCTGCCTGAAAAAAAGGACCCGGGCTCTCCAGGCAGGGCCTCGTTTCCCAGAGATCCCCCTCCGTCCCCAGGTGAGGCTCAGCCCCTCTTGTTCCACCCCCCCAAAGGGCCTGAGAGACCTGCGACGCCCCTCCTTCCTGTGCCAATCAAGGGAATCCAGAGGTTGGTCACCGCAATTAGGCCAAACAAAGGCTTGGTGGGCACCGGCCAGTCTTCCCTCCCTTCCTCCCCCCTCCCCGCAAAGCCGGGAGACGCCAGACAGTACCTGAAACGGACTTTCCTATTTGGGATGCTCCCAGCTGGACCTGGGCTTTCCAGCTGTGGATGCTGCTCCCCGGCACAGCTGCCGCCGCCACCACCGCCACCGTTTCCTGAGCGCAGCCTCCGGACATGAATTTTAACTTTGTGGAGGTTGCAGCAATAGGGAGGAGGGTTAGGTAAAGCTTTGCAGCATCTCACCATTTCCCTGAGTGCAGCTCTGGTCCCTGCAGGGCGCTTGACTGACACATCCTGGGCTGTCAGGCTGAGACTCAGTTCCTCTCTCTCTCTCTCTCTCTCTCTGTCTCTTGCTTCTTTCCCCCCCTGGCTCCGGCAGCGGGAAAGGAGGAGGAGGCAAGGAGGAGGCGCAGTCACGGCTCCCAAGTTCTCCTGCAGGTATGTCCTCCTCCGACTGGCCCTGCCTCTTGTTCTTAGGATGGTCTCAACTAGTGCAAACAAACAGGTACCGGGTCACATCCTTCTGCAGAGACAAAGCAAACGCTCCTCTCCCCCACACACGTGCGCCGGCCCCACTTCAGCCGGGGGCTGCCATGGGAGCTGGGCTGCTCCTCGGAAGAGTCTGGGGTGAGAGTGAAGCCCCACGGTCAGCAGCTCGAGACCAAAGCCCACGGTCAGCAGCTCGTCTGGCCAGCCGCAGGCATCTCTCTCTCTCCCCAAAGCCGGGCTGGAGGCGAGTGAGGCTAGCCAGGAGGAGGGGAGACGGTTCTCGCCTCAACTCTGCACTGCAGTAATGACAGCCTGGCTGGTTCTGGGCAGGCGTGCGAGACCCGGTAACGCATGCAGCACTCCCAGGGCCAAAGAATCCCTCCTTGTCCAGCCGGGGCCGGCTGGAGGCCAGGGAGGGAGAGGGCATTCTCACGCCAGGCACTGTGAGGCCCACCTGGCCCAGGCCCAGAGAATCAACCTCTCTGCAAACCTTTTCCAGCAACAGAATGAATGGGAATCAGCAGCACATTGATAACCAAGCAGGGCAGGCAATAGCACAGACGGTTCACAGGGAGGACCATCGTCTCCCCAAGACTGCCGAAGTCGTGGCAGATATCTGAGCTGGTGCCAAACAAGGGGCCAAAAACCACACCAGAAGCCTGATGATAAAGGACGTCACTCTCCGGAAAGCCACGGCTGAGTTTGGGTGAAGAAAACAATGAGTTGGTCGCCAAATATTGCCAGCAGCATTCAAGGGCCCGTATGTTTCGAAAGGGAGGGAGCCCGGAGAGAAGAAGCAGGCCGGAGAACGAACCCTTCCTCCTTTAACAAAGTCAACTGGGCACATACAGGCAGCCCTCGACTTATGACCACAAAATTTACGAGCCCAAAATTACTGTTGCTAAGTTGTTAAGTGAGTTTTGCCTCATTTTATGACCTTTCTTGCCACAGTTGTTAAGGGAGTCGCTGCAGTTGTTAGGTTAGTAACTGGGTTGTTAACCGAGTCTGGCTTCCCCACTGACGTCGCAAAGGGGATCATCTGATTCCGGGATGTTGCAGCCATCATAAAGGCATGCCAAACATCTGGATTTTGATCACGGGACCCTGGGGACGCTGCAACGTTCGTAAGGATGAAAAATGGTCATAACTCACTTGTTTCAGTGCCACTGTTACTTCGAACAGTCACTAAATGAATGGTTGTAAGTTGAGGACTACAGGTAATCCCCAATTTACGAGCGTTCACTTAACACTTGCTCAAAGTTACGTGATAAGCGCCCCCTAGTGCTCACGAGCAAGTCCCAAAATTACGAATATTGGGGCACCACGGCAGTCGTTCGCCCTTCCGAGCGACCACAGAGGCTCTGCAACATTCACCCCGGTTATTCCCTCCCCACCCCCGCCCGGCTCTCCCTCGGCACCAGGCCTCAATACTCACCCTGCGAAGATCAAGATCCTTCGCTTTCTTGGCTGCTCCAGGCCTTCGGTGCCTTCGCAGAGAACGGAGGCCTAAAATAACGCAAGATCACGCGAGATCAGTGGGGCGAGATCTCACACTGTTGATCTCATGTGATCTCATGGTACTTTAGGCCTCTGTTCTCTGCAACAGAGAACGGAACCGAAGCCGGGGGATGCTTCCGCGTGTGTCCAGAGGCTGGATTGGGGCTCCGGAGGCCTTTTCCAGGCCACTGTCGCCCGGATCTGAGGCCAGGTGACGCTTACATAGCCCTCCGGCAGCCCATTTCCAGGCGGCAGCAACCTGGAAAATGCCTCCGGAGCGCGGATTGGGCCTCAGGGGCGGCGCAGAAGCGTTCCCCAGATTGAGATCCAGGCAGCAGCAGGAACCACGTGAGTCTGGCATGGCAGGAGGGGAGGGGGAAGCAGGTGGTATCTTAGTGCAGGGGTCTCCAACCCCCGGTCCATGGACCAGTAATTGGGCTGCACAAACAAGCAAAGCCCCATCCGTGGGATGCAGGCACCACATAAAACCACGCACTCTCCAGTCCATGGAAAAACCTTTCTCCATGTAACCGGTCCCTGGTGCCCAAAAGATTGGGGGCCTCTGTCTTAGTGGGTTGGGGAGGCTTTGGGGGCCTGTTCCATCACTAGGCCCCTCCATGGCCTTTCCCACCCTGAGATACCGCATGTGCACTTAACGAGCCGCATGACTTTTAATGAGCAAGGCATTGATCTTGTTTGAGGTACGCAATTCACTCCCACGAGTTTTCGAGTTATGAGTGGAATGGGCAGGCTCCGTAACTCGAAGACTACCTGTACCTGTATCTAAAGGAAATGTTGAATAGACCAATAGCCGCAATAGAGCTAGAAACAGCATTGAAAAAACAAAAAAACAATAAATCACCAGGCCCAGATGGAATTCCGGTTGAGTTTTATAAAAATACACAAGAGTCACTACAATGGATAATGTTGGAGATGTATAATGAGGTGCTGGAGGAGGCGAAGATATCGACAACTTGGACTGAAGCAATCATCACTCTTATCCCTAAGGAAGACTCAGACCTGCAACAAATTCAAAATTATAGGCCGATTTCTCTACAGACTATAAGACATTTGCAACAATAATAGCAGAAAGGATTAAAAAAATTTTTTTGAATAATTACATCCATCCAGATCAAAATGGATTTCTACTAGGACGACAGATTAAAAAATAATATGAGGATAATAATGAATACTTTAGAATTTTATGAAGTCCATCCTGAAAGACAAGCTACACTGGTTTTTCTTGATGCCCAGAAGGCATTTGATAATCTGAATTGGAAGTTTATTATAACACAATTGTACTATATGGATTTTGGGACAAAATTTGGAAAGATGGTTGAGAAAATATATACTAAACAAACAGCTAGAGTAATTATAAATGATGAAATGACAGAAAAAATTGATATAACCAAAGGAGTAAGACAAGGATGCCCACTCTCCCCTCTTCTATTTATTTTATCATTAGAAATACTCCTGACAAAAATCAGAGAGCACCAAGAAATAAAGGGTTTAAAAATTAAGAAGGAAGAATATAAGGTCCAAGCCTTCGCTGATGATTTGGTATTTATTTTGGAAGATCCATTAGAAACCGGCCTTAAATTGATTAAAAAAATAGAAGAATTTGGTGAGGTAGCCGGACTTAAGATTAATAAGAATAAATCCAAATTAATAACTAAAAATCTTACAAAGGCACAGGAAAGTGAACTGGAAGATAAAACAAAGAAAAGTATAACTAAGAAAATAAAATATTTAGGGATCTGGCTTACAGTGAAGTGTTCCTCGATCAAGGAGGATAATTATGATAAAATATTACACCAGATAACAAAAGATTTAGAAAATTGGGAAAATCTACAAATTTCATTTTTAGGGAGGACTGCTATGGTCAAAATGAATATATTGCCAAAAATATTATTTCTGTTCCAAGTTATTCCAATAAAATTAGGGAAAACATTCTTTCAAGAATTAAATAAATTGGTCACCAAATTTATATGGCAAAGGAAAAAACCCAGGATTAAATTAAAACTCTTGCAAGATATGAAAGATAAAGGGGGATTGGCGTTACCAGAGTGGGAAACATACTACCAAGCATTGAGCCTAACTTGGCTAAAAGAATGGATGGAATTGAAAAATACCAGAGTTTTAACAATAGAAGGACATGATTTGCAAGTGGGTGGCATGCATTCCTATGGGACGAAAAATATAAAATACATAGATACTTTCAAAGACATATAGTTAGGAATGCATTGCTACAGACTTGGGAAAAAATAAAACAAAAACATTATATAAGAATTCCAATGTGGTTATCCCCAACAGAAGCTCTGAAACACCCAAACCTACTGGATATAAATAAGATAATTAGATACAAGGAATTAGTAAACGAACAGGGAAATCTGAAAACAAAACAAGAATTGGAACAAGATATAGGCAGAAAGATTGACTGGTGGACATTTTCACAAATTCAATCCAAATATACAGAGGACAAAAAATTATATGAAATACAAAAAGAGCCGCAAGAATTGGATAAAATTATACATGGAACAGAAATAAAATTAATTAGCAATTTATACAAATACCTATTGAGATATAAAATGGAAGACGAGGTTGTCAAAGATACAATGATTAGATGGGCAAAAAATTTCGGATATAATATAGAATTGGAGAAATGGGAAAAAATATGGGAAATAAACATAAAATTGACTATGTCAGCGGCATTCAAGGAAAACCAGTTGAAGATGTTTTACAGTTGGCATCTTCCACCAGCAAAGCTTGCTAAGATGTTCCAGAACAATTCGCCAACGTGTTGGAAATGTAAAAAAGTACATATTATCATTTATGGTGGACATGCCCAGTTGCAAAAAAATACTGGACTAAAATAAGAAGATGGATCAAAGAAATAATAGACCAACCCGTAGACTGGAAACCAGAGATCTTTTTGCTGGGTATTTTAAACAGAAAATATAGTAAAGAAATACGGTATTTAATTCTACATATAATAACGGCAGCAAGAATAGCATACGCACAATTCTGGAAAAATGAGAATATACCATCAGAGGAAGAAGTGATAAGGAAAATCCTGGACTGTGCTGAGATGGATAAATTAACAAAAGAGATAAAAGAAAAGGAAGACACAGAGTACTATTTAATATGGAATAAGTGGTACGATTGGTTGGAGACTAGAAATAATAGAGGAGAATAAATGTGGAAAGGTCAAAAGTGGAAAATGTGTGTATAATAATGTATAGAAATACTAATATGTATTATTTTTAGTATGAAGTATAGTATGAAGGAAGAAAAATGCAAACAAGAA